GCTCTTTTGTTTGTAGATATTCATTCTTTGCAGGAAAAGTTGCACTTTTTAAAATAGAGATTTATCATCTCTATTTTATAAATGGAGTCTGATTTAATAGTAATTCTTAAGGTTAGGGAATTCTACTTCTGATAGAGAAGACCAGTAGATACTTATCTGAAATAGTATGCCAAAATAGTGCATGCACATGACAGAATTGTATACTGTTTGATTTTGCTTTTTTTTTTGTAAGGCAAGGAATGTGTGTTAGATATGTGCAGTAAAACAGATTAGTGGATCTGGCAGAGTCCCTTTTGGGGCCCTTATATTGCCTTTCCTGTAAAGCCCTGTGGTTATTTTTAGTGGAATTTAAGTGATCAGATATACAGGAAACTTTTGCTTTTGGTATGTTTGTGAAACATCTTATATTTCACATGCTATGTTGTTATTATTTAATAGATCATTCAACACCAGCCAGCCAATCTCCTCATTCCTCTAACCCAAGCAGCCTGCCAAGCTCCCCTCCAACACACAACCATAATTCTGTGCCCTTCTCCAATTTTGGACCCATTGGGACTCCAGATAACAGAGATAGGAGAACTGCAGATCGGTGGAAAACTGATAAGCCAGGTGAGATCCAGACTTGATTGCCTAGCAAAAGTGAAATAACTTACTCTATCCCTCCCTGGCTTTTGATGTGGCAATAATAGAACATCTTGAATTCTTATCTCTTTTTATCCCTTAGCCATGGGTGGGTTTGGCATTGATTATCTCTCAGCAACAACATCCTCTGAGAGCAGCTGGCATCAGGCCAGCACTCCAAGTGGCACCTGGACAGGCCATGGCCCCTCCATGGAGGATTCCTCTGCTGTCCTCATGGAAAGCCTAAAGGTGAGTGGATTTCAGGAACAAGAACCACAAGGGATGCCTCTGCTTTCATTCACATAACTAGCCTTATTCCTAAGGCCCCTAGAATTAATTCATAGCACATATGTAGCAAAGTCCTAGAAATGTGGTCTGCCTTATAAAATTCTTGAATGGGATTTTTTTTTTTAAATTTGTGAATTCACTAGTGATAAAGCAGTATCTTCAGGGAGACAGAAACACAAAGATTTTAGTTGCATTCTAAGGCTAAGAAAATTCTGATTCATCTTGGAATGTTTGATTTAAGCCTTTTCTGAGCCAGTAAAAGAAGGGTATCTAATTTTAGTAATGTTTCATCTGCCTAAAACCTTTATAATAAATACTCTTTGGTCCCAGATGGAGCTGAGTTTTAGTAGAAAGACTATATAAAACGTACTTTCACCTTTGCTGGTTTAAAATAATCTCAATGGAAACTAACTAGTCTTGAAGACAGTCTTACAATGATTTTTTCTAATAGCTGGATTTTTTTTAGGGGGTTGGGCATCTTGGGACATATATGTCTTTATATTTGGGTGGGATTGAAACACAAATTCCTTTCAGACAACGAGGCATTTGACCTCTGCTGACAAGCTCTGGGCTGTTTTTCAGTCTATCTGGTCCAGTTCCATGATGCATCCTGGACCTTCCGCTCTGGAGCAGCTGTTAATGCAGCAGAAGCAGAAACAGCAGCGGGGACAAGGCACCATGAACCCTCCACATTGAGGCCACAGTGGCATCCCTGGGAATGAAGGCTTCATAAACCATGGCATGTTGGGTTTGCAGGACTGGCCCACACAGTCCCCTGCAGGTGGCAGCCCTCTTTTCTGTTTCTTGCTGTCGAGAGGGTGTAAGTGTTCCACCAGCCCACTGAGTGTGCACGAAATGTCTGCAGTGCAACAAAAAGAAAAAACCATCAGGAACTCTCCGTCCCCTCGGGGCCTTCCGGAGGGAGAGAGGAACTGCTGTTTGTCTCACTCAGTTACCTGATATCACCGCCTCTCACCTTCTCCATCGTGCATGTCCCCAGCCACATGGGAAGTGAAAGCTGAGACGGGAAGGCAGGTGGGAGAAGCCAATGGGAACTTCTCAGTCCTTTTTTCCTCTTTGGGGAATAAATAGGAATCCATTAATGATTGCTTTGCTGACTGAGAATGTAGTTGAAATTATTCCTAAACATCTTTTATTACTGTTATTACTCAGTAGTAAAATATCACATTGAATTCTTCCACACACAGATGTGCTTCTTCTAGTCAGTGTGTAGCAAGGAAAGCCCCGTTCACTGCTCCTGTGAGAGGTTGGTGGTGACAGGATGGGGAAACTGACCTCTTCAGCCAGTGGGAGTGTTCCATAAGGGAGAGTACAAGGCCTCAACTTCCACACAGAAGGTTCTGGTAGGCCCTCCTGCTGGAGATTCCAGCAGGAAATGCCCTTCACTCTGTAGGTGCTTGAGCCCCATTCGAGGATGCAGTGTGGGTGGTGGTGCTGGGCTGGACTAGCAGATGACTGCTGTAGGATTTTAAATTCACGTTTTTGATTCCCATACATTTTACGGTAGCATAGCAAGCAGTCTTACAGAAGGCAGGCTAGTCCATTCATGGCCTGACACATTTTAATAGGTAGAAGCTTTCAGTGTGGTTATTTTTTGGTTGGTTTTTGTGCCCCCATCCCACTTAACCACCCATCTCCTCCTGTCCCTACCTCCATCCCTTTTCTACCCTATGCTGTATGCTAGTAATTGTCTTTATTCCTAATATGTACAACATCTCGCCAAGAAGCAACAGCATGGGGTCCAGCAGTTGGGGCCCAAAATACAGTCTGAAGAGGAAGGAAGCAGTGGCGTCTGCATAACCCACAGAGGGGCCCGACCCCTGCCCAGCCGCAGTCTCCCAACCTCCACTTTGGGAGTGAAATTCAAGACAACACGGACACGTGTGCGTCACGCACAGAAGAAAACACAACGAAGTCCATTCTGGAAAAGGCGAAAGAAAGGAAAATAAACTTTTATTTGATATTTATTAGAAGGAAAGAGGACTGAAAATTTTCTTGTGTAGAAACAGAAGGACAGCATTTCTGTTAGTCATTTCCTGGAAAAGTAATATTTTAAGGGGAAATTATGGAAACAATCTAAATGTCCAGTTGCTGTGCTAGTGGTAGGGTTTATTTTCTGGGAGGTCTCTCCTTTGTGTGTATGTGTGAGTGTTTGTGTGCACACACACGCCCATCTGCTCTTCCGGAGGGGAGGGGTGTTGTGTATGAGTGTGTGGCGTTAGTGTGGGACTTATGAGCTGGAAAACAGCTGCAGAGCAAAGCACATCCAGGAGCCCCGGTTGTCACTGGAGTCTGGGCAACCCCAGCAATGAAAAGGGGTGAGATTAATGCTCATTGCTCTTTGGAGAGAGTGGTTGGAGCCCTGTGTTACATTATTGCTCTTTTAATTTGACATGGTGTTTGGGTTTTTTTGTTTTTGTTTTGTTTTTTTGAAAGGTCTGAAAGGGTGATGCCCCCCACTCAATGGCAATATGAAACCCTTCGTGCTTCTCTCTATCCTCTTCCCTGTGTCTACTGTTCTCCTGTTCCCTCCCGGCCAAGCCACCTTCCCTACTACCTTTCCCCTCTTGGTGTGTTTGAGCTCTGCATTCAGGCAGCTGCAACATTCCAGTGTTTGAACTGTCACTGATTCTTGCACCCTAGACAAGCTAACCAGGTTCACCATCACTCCCAGTAGTACCCAGGTCCCATCTACAGCCCCATTTCTGCATGAGAATTTGGTGTTTGGAATGTTTCCTGACTCTTGGGGTAGGGTTCCTCGCCTTATCATCCTCAATGTTGAGTAATGAGGAGGGAGAGGAGAATCTTCAGCAGATACTGGTTTTGTGTAGTAAACTTTCTTTTGTGTTTTCTTTTTTGTTTAGTTTTGTTTTGGTCTGTCTGTGCAAGACCTGCAGCTGCTGAAATCAGCTTTGCCTTTAATTAAACCATGTTCTCTCCAACCAGATCTGTGTATAGATTGTTTCTTTTCTATCCTAAAAGAAAATCCAACTTAAAAAGCAAGAATTTAACTACTCACAAATCACCTAGGGGAAAGCAAAGATGGTCAGAAATCAAATATGCTTTAGGGTTATTTTTGCTTTTAGTAGCATTCCAAACCTGTGTGCATTGTATGCAAAGTGATGAGTAGAAAGAAAATGATTGTCAAAATTCTTTTGTTTAATAAAGAATGGCTTATGCAAAGGAGTTAACAACCCACCATTTTTATCCCTATTGTCACTGTTAATAAGGCAATTTAGAGATAGTTTATCCTTTTGGCCTATAAAATTCACTAAGTCTCATTTGCAATAACAGTAATTAGTCTTCTTAGCTTTAGGGTTGCATTTCTTTGAGTTGTGTCCAAAATTTCCAGTGGTAGCCAACCGGGCCTTCAGCAGTGTGCTGTGAGCCGTGCCATAGCTTAATGGTCTGTGTGTTCACACTGACGAGCTACCCTTTCACCCGACTCAGTCTACACTTCATTTCCTGACTCTGCTTTTCACAAGCACTTACACACTTGAAAAATTGTAAACAAAGCCATACATACTCTACAAGAAGAAGGGAGGGAGAGGAATTAAGGCCACATCCTAAGGTCTAGTATTTATAGAATCCTTCACTCAAGTTAACCCTGAAAAACTGGGCCATTTGGTTAAATGGTAACCAAAATAAAACTATAGTATTCTATCATGTATATTAGTATAGTAAATATTATAAAATGTTAGCTAATAGGATACTGCTAACCAACTGGCTTCCTTGAATGCAGCTTCTTTTCATCATTTAAGTGTTAGTGGCATATATTCAGTATTGAACTCTTAACAAATGTCCCTCTCTGAGAAGGCATGAATGTAATTCTAGTATTTTAATTCTCTGTGGAATTGAAAGCTGTATTCCATGGGAACCTAACTCAGTCTAGGTTCTGTTTAAGCCACGAGACTTTTAACAAAAAAAGAAGTTAATTTTGTATGTGTGTGTGCTGTCCAAATTACCTGTAAGGTTACTTCACGCCCTAGGAATCTGTGACAATAATGGTTCAGGAATAAGAATATTTACACTTAGGCATTGGGCCTGCACTCTGGCTGTCTTGTTTGTGTAAGTTTTTTATTGAGGTATCACACATACAGAGAAGTACATCAATAATAAGTGAACAACTCAGTGAATTTTCACAAAGTGCACACATCTGGGTAGCCAGCTCTCAGCCAGAAACAGATTATCAGCACCCTAGAAGCCCCCCTCATGCCCTTCCAGACAATTCCAACCACTTCCCTCACCCCACCCCACCCCCAGGGTAATCATCATCCTAAATTCTCACATGGTTGTTTATTAGATTAAATATTAACAGGGAAAAGTAGATTAGATAGCACTTCCAAACAGTAACTTCTTGGTACAGTGTACTGCAGAGGCATGCTAAACCTTGCAAATGATAGTACTCCCTTTTCTTCAGCTTGTAGGTTGTGAAACATCCTAGACTCCTCTAGGAGTGCTTTCCAAGTCTGTAGTTGCATGTTCTCCAACAAAAGCTTTGGGGAAAATACCAGCCTTCCCTTTGCACTCCCCTTCCAGCCACTCTTCATTCACTGATAAAAGGAAAAGTAGACATTGATTTCTAAAACCAATACAGAAAATGATCTCCTCTAGATAGTCCACACAGATCTTTTGTCAAGTCCTCCACCCCCGATTGTGCTAATGGGGAGATGTCTGTATTGGAAGGTGATTTGCGGTAACAGTGGACAAAGGACTTAGCCATCTTTTTATTGGTTTCTGCATTAGACATGATAATGGAGGAGTAAAATGCAGAAGAATCAATAAGATTTTTCAAAAAGTTGCCAGAGAAATACGAAGAAAGAAATTGAACAACGAATCTTTAGATAACGATTTTTTAACAAAGGAGAGAGTTTTATCTGAGCTCACTTGGGAATCTTTGTTTTGACTACTGGAAAGGGACATGCCATTGGTTAAATATATTAATAATAAATGTTCACTAGTGAATGATAGTTGGAGCTAGTGATAGGTTTAGTCCCTGTTTGTAAAATATAAGGATTTTAATAGCTCCTATTTTGAGCCTTTAATAAAGTACAGGCACTGTACTAGGATATAGATACACTCAGACTTTATAATAACTCAGTTGTAGATATTATCCCTGTTTTACTAACGATAAGGAGAGCCAGAGAGATTAATAGTTTGTTCAGGGCCATTCTGCCAATAGCTTAGGTATGACGTGCTTCAAAGCGCACCTACCAGACCACAAAACCAGGTTTGAGGTTCATCTTTGGATGTAAGACATCTAGATCAGACATTAGAGCACTGGTGGTTGGGTCCTGTCCCCAGAAATTGCTTTAATTTGTGTGGGGTGTAGCTGAACATCAGAATTTTTTCTCAAGTTCCCCCAGGTAATTCTAATTGCAAACCACTGTCTTGATCCTTCCTACTTATAATGTGAGTCATAGACTGGAATCATTTACCTGTCCTGGATCCTGGGAGCACATTAGAAATGCAAAATCTCAGGCCCCACCCCAAACCTGAGTTGGAATTCATTTTAACAAGATTCCCAGGTGATTCACATGAAAATTTGAGAAATTTTATGAGTGAAACCATCTCATAACTATTGAATACAGTTGAATTCACCCCCACTCCCACCCATGTTTATGCTGAACTCTGTTTTCTATTTAAGCATTATGGTAAAGTTTCAAAATATATGGGTACTTCCTGAATTAAACTGACATAGACTTTTGTACATATTACAGTAAGGAGTACTCCACCTTCTCTCCATATCTACTCAGAAGGTTTTTCAGTGTGTTCTCTTTTATCTCACCCCTTCCTTCCCCCAAAAAATCTCTGGACAATTTACCTTGTTGGTTGATACTGACACCTAGAAAATGGCGCTGGGAGTTACTAAACCAAATTCTTACCATTGAGTTTGCATTCTCTCTTGTCAGAAGATACACACTACCAGTGCACCCTGCTTCTATGTTTCATTACTCATATTTTGAGTTAATTGCCACACACTTGAGGGTGAGTATATTCACCCTCTACCCCATTAACTTTAAAATCTCCCACTGTCATTTATTTTTTTTTGTGAGATCAGCCCTGTGCTAACATCTGTCAATCCTCCTCTTTTTTTTTTTTTTTTTTTGCTGAGGAAGACGGGCCCTGGGCTAACATCTGTGCCCATCTTCCTCCAATTTATATGGGACACCGCCAAGCAGTGCATCCGTGCGCGCCCGGGATCTGAACCGGCGAACCCCGTGCCGCCACAGTGGAGCGCGCGCACTTAACTGCTTGTGCCACCGGGCCAGCCCCTCCCACTGTCATTTCTTAATCTGATGGATTTTGTTATAACTGATAATAGTATTTGTTTTTCACTACTTTGCATTGCTAATAACATTTCAGCCATGCGAACAAAGCTTTTGATGCGACTCGCATTTGTTTCCAGGTAGAGAAATAAGACTATGTCAAACCATGAGTTAGAACAGTGCTTCTCAGTAGAGTCAGTAGACCAGCATCACCTGGAAGCTTGTTAGAAATGCAGATTCGTGGGCCCCACCCCAGACCTGAATTAGAATCTCTGGGAGCTGGGGCAAGGAATTTTATTTAACAAACTCTCCAAAGTTTGTTAACCTGGGAATACTGAAGTTTGAGAAGCACTAAGTTAGATCCTCCACTTACTATTGCAGTTTTTAATGTGTTTGATTCCTAACAGAATCAGGAAAGTCGCCAGAGCAATTCTGAATACCTGCTTTTAAGGCAAAATTTACCCCCTTCCCTCATCTTCGAAAAGTACATCAATTCAAAGAATAATGGTTTGCAGAAGATAAGTATCATATGGCTTGGTGCAAAGGCAAAATGATTCCAGCCACCTTCCAATTCATTAACTCTGGGAATGAGAATCCATGGCTTCCAAAACATAGCTATCTTTAATAATCAAAATGTTATCTAAGTCTGCCATTTATTGCTTCCCTGCCCATCAGAGCACTTAATTTTGCTCCCTCCAGCTGAAAACTAGGAAGGAGGTTGAAACCATTGGCTAAAGTTTGGTTTGTAGGTTGTTGATGTTTTCCTCTCTGCCCTTGAATTTATTTCTGCTGACACGTAAATTAGTCTCTCTAATCCAGGAGTAGCACTTACCCATTGATAAAACCAGGATTATGTCCCCTTCCAGAAACTCCAGGTCTTCTGGTTGGGTAGCCTCATAACTGAAGAGTGCTACCACTTGGCTCCCTTCCTTAATCTGAGGTTCTTTTATCTGGTTATTAGCATCAGATTTTTCACTTTCCTTGGGTTCATCTGGGAAGCCTTGGTCACCCTGAAATAATAAAGGGCCTGTTAGTTTTCGTTACTTCCTAGCTGGTGAACACTGAACATCACTAAAGGAATCAGTCAGTGAATGTCACTGTAGCACCTGGGATGTAAACTCCTACAGGCAAGTTTGTGATCAGTGCCTAGCATAGACCTGGTATGTGCTTTATGACTACTAGTTGACCAGTCCGATAAATGAAATCAAAAGGTCTGCAGGACCACATAGGCTTAAAATCTTACTGAAACCTTACAGTCGTCCTGAAGAAAGTAGGTACTATTGTTACTTCTTTTCAGATCTAGAAACAGAGGTTGAGTCACAAGTGACATAACCCAAAGTCAAACCTGGGTTTCTAACTCCAAATCCGCGCTTCTTCCCCAGCACCCACAACACAGGGACCTTGTTAGAAATGCACAGTTTGGGCTCCATCCCAAACCTATTAAATCATGAACTCCCTGCAGATGGGGCCCAGCAATCTGTGTTTTAACAAGCCCTCTAGCTAATTCTGATACTTGCCAAGGTTTGAGATCCACTGTGCAGCACCTACGATCTTTCTAAGGCCATGAAAAAGGCTTTCCTTTTTTATACATGTAATTACACATCTTAGTTACCATTATGGTCACTTTTGACCCACAAAGGTTGAAAAGGAGGAGGAAAATGCAGTTTCTAGAGATGAGAATCTTAAGATGTAACAAATCAGTGTTGGAAACCCTTCTTGGCTAAATGCTGTACTGAGTGTTGAAAGTTCTAGTTTCCTGATGCTGTTTGTTCCAACCTTGGCAGATCCTCTTTACTGAAAGGTAGTTCAGTAAGGTAGAAATGGCCCTAAGGAGTCCAAAGACCTAGATCTGTCCACTCCACTGCTCTACTGCTTACCGGCTGTATGTCCATGAGCAGGCAGTGTAACCATTCTGAACCTCACTTTCCTCACCTGAAATTGAGCCTGGAAGAATGAAATGAGATGATGCAGAGTAATAATAGCTGACAATTGTTGAGCACTTACTCTGTGACAGTACTATTCTAAATAGACATATAAATATTTAAACTTGGTTAATAAGTGTGCCTGCATAGAGTAGATACTTAATAAATGTTAGTTCATTTTCCTTCTCTCCTAGTAAGTGAATGAGAACACCCTGACTTGCTACGAGTGAAACAATGACCTTTGAGGCTAGATTGAGTTCCAAAAAGACTGTGTTGGCAGTTTGGGGAGGGTGAGCCGCATACAGCTGCTAAATAGATGGAAGCTTTCTTTGAAGGACAAAAATTAACAATAATTAAAAATAAAAACCTTTTAAGTGAAGTAGTTCACATTTAGAGCTGAACTACTACTAGGCAGAATCCTTTTAAGACAATACTTAAAGAGGTTAGTCCAAAGACACAGTTGGAAAACCTAGAGGGACCTGTGAAACTTTCAGGGGCCCCCTGACACCGGCACTGATTCTCACCCCAGGGGCCTGGGGCCTCTCCTCTCAGCTAGAGGCACCAGAGGTCTCAGCTCCAGGGGCTCTGCTTGCTGAAGGCAATTTTCTGAATTCTCAGATTCCACTGACGTGGAAGTTATTACAGGGCCTTCCTCCAGGCCCATCTTCTTTAGTTCTTCCTCTCCCACTCTTTTTTTTGTCCCCCCAGCAAACATTTGTCTTTGATTTGAGTGAGAATCTACCGGAGAGACCCTTTCCTACTAAAGCAGACACCCCTGCCCAGCTGTGGGGATGAGGGTTTGGACGAGGGACTGTGCCTCCCACTGTGGCCCCAAGGCCTAGGTGGTCTGCAGTAGCTTTCCCGGTGTGGTCATTTCCATGGTCTCAGATCCACTTGTGGGTGAAAAATAGCTCTCAGAAGGACTCATATATGAATTGTTTAATTTGATACCCCCTAGATTGATAGAACTGCAGATGCCACAGTCTAAAAATGCTAAAGCAGAAAACACAGGTTAGTGGAGGGCAAACTGAAGCTGTCATAGGGACCCCAGTTAACACAGATTTGGTCAGTGGAGATCGCGTCTCATTTAACTCTGTGTCGGGACTCCGCAGCCCCAGGACTCTGGATGGGTAGCTGATGCCTCAGAGGAAGCCCACTGGCCAGCCTAGCTGAGCTCCCTGCCTAGCTCATATGCTCCATGAATCATTGGTCCAAAGCAAGACCTAACTATTTTCTCCCCTGCTCACATCATCCTAGTGCAGCAGTGTACAAGGCCTCCCATGACCTGGCCCTGTTGCCTGTCCTGTCTTGTCTCCCACCACTCTCCCTGTTGTGTCCAGTAACGCTGAGCCCCTTCGCCCACTATGCTCACTCTTACCATCTTCCCTCTGTTCTCTTCATCCGTATAATGTATCCTAACGTCCTCCACCTTGCTAATTTCTCTTTACCATTGTAAGGCTAAGCTTCAAGACAATTTCAGCATCATTTTCTCTAGGGACTACTGACTTGTCCCACTTCCCTCCAGCATTTTGGGGTGAGATACCCACCCATGTGCCTACGTAACACAGTATGCCATTTGTGCATCTCCATCAGTTTACTTAAGGCATGCTTCGTAACCATTTGTTTGCCTTTGTCTTCTCCACCAGAAGGGCCTGTGTCTTATTAGTTTTTAAATCTCCAGTGGCTATCTAGAGAGCAGTAAGCGCTCAGCAAATGTTTGTTGAAGAATAAATGTCACTAGACAAACACTGGAAACAACCCAAACGTCCACCAACAGGTGAATGAATAAGCAAATTGTGGTCTCCGTACAATGAAATACCATTTAGCAATCAAAAGAAATGGACTATTAAAACACAGAATACATATATATATATGTATTCTGTACAGTCCACTTATATGAAATTACATAAAAGGCAAACAAAAAAGTATGTTGACAGAAAGCAGATGGGTGGTTTTCAGGGGCCATGGTTGTGGGAGGAAATTAACATCAACAACAAAAAGAAATGGCAACTTTTCCCTTAGAGACTAAGGGAGGAAGTCGAAGAGTGTTACCTTGTAGCTACTACTTCCAGCCTCTAAAGTTGCTCCTGACTCCCTTTATTCTTACCGGAAAGTAAGTTAACTCTTTTCTAGACCTCGGGGCCTGTGGATAACCTGCGCTGGTACCGTCAGCACAGCGAGGTGCTCAAGAATAGAGGCAGGCTCTGGAGTGACGAAGCCCACCTGAGCCCTGGCTCCGCTCTGACCAGCTGTGTAATCTTGGTCAAGTTGACCTCTCTTTGCCTTGTTACCTAAACTGTAAAATGGGCTAACAATACCTACCTCCTAGAGTTGTGGGGATTATAAGCATTAACACACAGAGAGCACTTAGCATAGTATCCCGCATGTGGGAGGTTCTCTAATAGATGCTTGCTCTTGGTAGGAGGTTGTTATCCAAATCATCTCTGTGAAATAAATGCTCACTATTTTCTTTTTACTCTCAAGTGCTCTTTCCCCTGGAAACTTCCGGTGAAGAATGGCTACGAGGTCAGTCCCCAGCTATGACTTCGTTCCAGCTTTGCTTGAGAGTGATGGGCCTAAACTTTGAAACAGTTAGAGGTGGCAGCAGGTGGAAGGGACTCAAGGCTTTCTGTGGGCTCCTGGGCCTGCTCTGCTCTTGTGAGAAACCCTTTCCTGGCTGCAACTGGGGTGAGGATGCAGATGAAAGAGAGGCAGAGCTGTGGCTTGCTACCCACGTATCCCCAACACCGAGCACAGTGCCAGGCCCACAGAAAGTGCTTGATAAATGTTGAATTGTTGAGGAAGTGGCCCAATTGAAACACGACCTTAGGTGCCCTTGAGTTCCCTGCACTCACCACTGTGTTCTCACACCACAGGGTCAGGCAGTAGTTTTTCACTTGGCCCCAGGCAGCCTTCATGTTATCTTCTGAGAGGGGCGCCAGCTCATTGCTGTCCCGAGGCCGATAGCTGGGTAGAGATAATGAGTGGAAACAAGTCAGAGAACATCGGTGCAAAACCATCCTCCTCTTCTGTCCTCCAGGCCAGCACCAGGTCCCTAGCTGGACCCCCAACTGCTACCTGCATGGAACTCACCTCAGCTTAGTGTGTTCTGGCAGGAGGTCCAGTTTCTTAGCCACCATGTCCCGGACCTGGCTGTAGGGGAGCCCAGGCTGAGTCGCCATGACCACCGTGTACTTATAGTGCACCTTGAGTGTGTAGGGCATGGGAACACTGAACTTGACTTCCTGAGGGGAGAGGAAGCAAAGGGAACTCGTGAGTGTCTGAAGCTTCCTCTTAGCAACGTCCTGGACCGCAGGGAGTGCTCTGTGTAGCAGGGAGAAGGCCAATAAGTAACTGATTCCACAGTATCATGAAGGGCTTTCAGAGGTCCTCTAGCTCAACTCTTGCTTGGACAGGAATTTCCACTGAGTGAGCTCTGGCCCACCAGCTGTGGGCTAGTAGGAAATGTGTGCGTGGGGGTAGGGGAGGTAGCTGAGGGGGGGTCCCTAGCCCATGGTCTGTGTGCATGTGGTGACAACTGGTCTACCCTTCCTTTGAGACTCTTTCTAGAATCCAGGGAGACATGCCCAAGGTGACAGCCTAAGCTCTTCCATTCTCTACCACTTGAAATAGTACAAGGAAAAAAATGTTACCTTGGGCTCTTCTTTGTCTTTCTGACCTAAATGGAGAAGGTAAGGAGTAAAACAAAAAAAAACATGATGAATGAACACTCTTGGCAAGCCCCTGCCACACACAGAATGAAACTTCTTAGCACAGGGCACCCAACTTCTTACCCTTTAATCTCTGGGGTGATTATTAACCTTACTAAACTGTGGGGGAAATCTCGCTCTGGGGAAATGTGAAGGGTAAAGCGATGAACACACAAACGGACACCGCCTCTGCTTCTAGGGAGCAGATAGGTAATTATCAAAGGACCATCGCGTCCTGACCAGCCCGTGGGGTTAGCAGAGATCCCAAACGTCAGTTAAACCAGTGGGCTCCAAAGCAACAGAAAGCAGGGAACGCGAGACGAGCCAAGGAGCCACAAGAAGAAATATTAGAACCACTTATTTTTACTTTGTCCTTTATTTTTTTGTTTGTTTTCTAATATACGTCATATATTAATATAGCAGTATGCATATAATTTATATAAAAGAAGTATGCATAAAGATATTCACTATATGGGGGTGCATGATCAAAAAAGACCACTGATCTCAAACACAGCTGATGATTAGAATCACTTGGGAAGTTTTTTCTAGAAATACAGATTCGTAAGCCCAATTCCAGTCCTAAAAAATCAGAATCAAAGGCCTAGGAATCTACATTCTTAAAATCTTCCTAGGTTAATATGTGATATTTGATGGGCCGCTAGACAGAAAAGATAAAAACAGAAAAGCTATCAAGGACGTTTCGGGGGGCAACTGGAGAAATTTGAATATGAAATATACATTCTATAATATGATATTAATGTTAAATGTCCTAGATATACGAATTGTATTGTGGTTACGCAGAAGAATGTCCTTGTTCTTAGGAGATACATGCTGAAGTGTAGGGTGAAGTGTCATGAGTCCGGAACTTACTTTCAAGTGGCTGAGCCACTTGAAAAAAAATTTATATATGGAGAGAGGGACAGGGCAAGTGCATGGTACAAAATGTTAACAAGTGGTGAGTTTAGATAAAAGATATTCTGGTGTTTATTGTACTATACTTTCAACTTTTCTGTAGGTTTGACATTTTTCAAAATACAAATGGGGGTGGGGAGCATCCCAAGTGATTCTGATGATCAGGTGGGCATGACGATCATCAGCCTAGCATCTGGACAAACCACCTATTCAACACATTTCTACCAAGCGTTCATTCAGAATCTGCTTCAACTGCCTTAGTGAAAAGGCCCTTACTCCCAATGCAGCCCTCTCCACACATCAGCAGAGTCTTCCTTTCACATCTTCCCCTTGGTTCTTCGTTCATCCCTGGGGATCTGCAGAGCAGTTTCTTTTCCAGATAGAGCTCCTCAGACATTTGAAAAGAGCCACTCCATCCCCCTCTGAGATAAACTTGTGCAATTACTTCAACCTTTCCTCATGGGACTTGGTTTCAGTACTTAATGACGGAGGGGTTTGGTGACTACTTGAATTGGGAGACTCACTGCCCCCCCGAAACTAGCTACTTTACCCAAGTCCTCTGAATGTTCTGGAGCAGGCAGAGAGAAAGGACATCTATTTCCTATGTTGTGGGTGGGTGGGTGGATGGTGCAGGACAGATGGGGCTCTGGGGCTGTGTGATCATAAGCTGAGTGGCATGCTGGGAGAAGAAACCAGAATTTCCCGGAAGGCTGGAAGGGCAACTACCATCAGGAAGCAGCCTGGAGCTCTCCTGCACCCAGGTCTAGGATGTTGCTCCAGGGACACTAACCTGGTGTCAACTGGGGTCTTCCAGGAGCATCAGAACTGGGAAGAGCTGGAATATCAGACTCTGGGGAGGTTTCCTCCTGGAGGTGACAGGAAGAGACTGTGAGAACCTTCAGGCAGACAGTTCTTAGGCAGGGGTAGAAGTGGGGGGGAAGGGGCAGACTCTGAGACCCCCATGGAAAAGAGCCAGATGCAAATGACTTCCTAAAAGTTGGAGTGGTGGTAACATTCAGGTAACTCAGGAGAGACTAAGGAAAGTGTTGGTTAAAAAGGGAGGCAGGGTTGGCTTGGTAAAAACAAATCATAGTAGTAATAAGAATCCTAAGCCCCACCTAAAAGGCCCTTGCTGCATAATCACCCTTTTCAGCCACATTGGAAATCCGGTGAAGACGGGGTAGGACCCTGAGCTCTTAGCTCACCCTCTCACTCCACGTCTCGCCCCTTCAAAGGAAAAATTCCACTTCTTATTTGCATGGCATTTAAAACTTTTCAAGTCATCTATATATAGTGACTCTGACCAGCGGGGGCCAAGCCCACAGAGGACAACTGGTTGCAGCCTAGAGAGAGACAGGTTCCAGGGCCATCAGACATCTACATGGCTGCTCAGATCCACTAAAACCTCTCACCAGGCCTGGCAGAAGGGCAGGCCTTTGAAGGGTGATGGAGAGAGTGGTATACCACAGCTTCAGAAGCAGTGGCTGGTAAGGCCTCTGATTCAGTGCTCTAAAGCAGTGCTCTTTTTTTTAAATGGTATTTCACCAGCCAACACATTAAATATGCTTCTTCCAGGTGAAGAGGACACATCTGGGATGACCTAATCTTCATATACTATAGGCTTTGGTCAAGTCACCCCTGCCCAGGAGGAATCATGAAGGTGAGTGGGCCCGATAGGTCCTGCAGATGCCTCCACTCAGCACGTCTAGGTTTTTCTTTCATCCCCAGGTTCAGCTCTGGGCAGCTGTTGCCAACTTAAGGCAGGCTCAGGACTAGTGAGTCTTTCTTCAGTGATTGTGACAGCGCCTCTTTCACACTGTTCTTCTCCCCTTCTCAGAGAGATCTGTCAATCAAGGGAGGGAAGTGGGTCAGGCCTTGGTATTACATTACCTCGGACTGCTGCTGAGGATGGATCAATAGCTCAACTGGTTCAAGGTAGTTGCAGGGAACAAGCCCCTTCTGCAGTGCAACATCATGGAATCAGAAAGGGGAAAATAAAGATGTGCTCATCAGTACACATACCACAAAACAGCCCAGAGCCGTGGGGGAGGGACGGACGTACAGATCAAAGAAAGTAGCTGGTCTGCAAATAAGGTAGCAGGTACTGCTCCTCAGAAAGCTCTGCCATTTGCTGCCAGGATCCCATGCCCAAAAACACCACGCCCTGATCCTCTGAATACCTGCCCGTTGAACATGACCGTAGCCCAGTTATCATTGCCCTTCTTCAAGACAAAGACGATGTTCCCGGGCATGACCTGGAGCTCCTCTGGTGTCTTAGGCACAAACCCAAACAGCACACGGTGAGCTTCCCCTTCCAGAGCCCTGCAGGGGGTGGACACAAGAGCCTGTCCACTGTCTAGCCTGGACCCCTTCCCCTCCCATGGGGCCATGGGACAAGCACAATGGACTTGGAGCCAGCAGACATGCTCCAGGCTCCTCTAACTCCACATCAAACTGCCTATGTGACTCTGAGCAGGCTGCTTGCCTGCCCGTGCTCCCAAGAGGACTAGGCAGGAAACCACATGTGAACGTGCCCGTAACCATACGTGCAGTGGGACAAGCATAAAAGGAAAAACAACACTGGACAACAAGGCCTTGCAGCGCTTGCCCTCCTTTTCCTTCCGAGGAGGAAGGTTCCTGGGTGTGCTCCGTCTGGTCTCAGGTCCGGGCTGGGGTGCGACAGGTACGGTGGTAAGGGGAGCGACACAAGGTGGAAGGGAGGTGAGAGCCTGCAGGGTGCGGAAGGTGAGTGGGGAGGAGGGAGGAGAAATCACCCAGAGCCAGCACGGGGCCAGGCTCAGGGGGAGAGGATGGGGAGCAGGAGAGCCGGGCTGTGAGGAGCATGGCGGATGTGTAAAAAGGTTCTGAGGCTGCCTTGCTGCTGGTACGCAATGTCATTTCCCCTTTACCGTTTCCTCAACACCGACTGCTCCTCAAGGCTCCCGGGCCTCCCATTTGTGCCACTTTGGAACGTGTGACCGCGAGGCCGGCTGCCAGGCTGCCTGACACTTGGAGTTTCACTCGCTCCCTCCGCTCCCTCTGGGACTGCTGGTTGTTCTCCCTCACGCTCTCCTTTGTTACTTTCCCTCAGTCCTTCCTTTTGTTTCCAAACATCATGTCTATTTTGGTAGGGGAGATAGCCTCCTCCAGCAGACTGAGAATTTAGGAATGAGCTAATCAGCACCCTCATTTTTTTTTTTAACTGATGTCTTAATAGTTTATAACACTCTGAAATTTTGGTTGTACATTGTTGTTTGTCCATCACCATATACATGTCTCCCTTCACCCCTTGTGCCCACCCCCCACCCTCCTTGCCCCTGGTAACCACCGAACAGTTCTCTCTGTCCATGTGTTGGTTTATATTCCACATATGAGTGAGATCATACAGTGTTTGTCTTTCTCTTTCTATCAGCCTCCTCATTTTTATAGTTGCTTTGGTACTTTTTTCACTTTTTTTAAACCTCTGGATTGGGTGGGGCTTGCTTCCTTTTTTTTTTCCCCCCTTTCTTTTTTTGTGAGGAAGATCAGCCCTGAGCTAACATCCATGCTAATCCTCCTCTTTTTGCTGAGGAAGACCGGCTCTGAGCTAACATCTATTGCCAATCCTCCTCCTTTTTTTTCCCCCCCCAAAGCCCCAGTAGATAGTTGTATGTCATAGCTGCACATCCTTCTAGTTGCTGTATGTGGGACTCGACCTCAGCATGGCCGGAGAAGTGGTGCGTGGGTGCGCGCCCAGGATCCCAACCGGGCCGCCAGTAGCGGAGCGTGCGCACTTAACCGCTAAGCCAGGGGCTTGCTTCCTTACTTAGAGGGGATTCGTAAGAAAGCTGTAGGTTATGCCGTTCTCTGTTTCTCGTCTTACAGAAGAATGACTTCTTTCTCTGGAGTCCTTCCTCTTACTTCTTGAGAAAACATGTGCTAATAGGGAGTGGAAAACGCCCACACAGGAAAGGAGCCACCATTCTAGCTTCTCACTCTGCTCACCTGACTCCAGGGTGCTCCGGCTGCCCCTCTTCTGAGGAGGCTGCAGCCGGTTCCAAACCGCTCTCCAACCCGAGGCCAGTGGTCTGGCCCCAGGGAGGGTGCTCATGGGACACTGCTGACTTCAGCAACAACCCCGCACTGTATGGGTGGCTGTGCATGCTGACATAGGGACACAAGGACACCATGTAGCTGTGGCCAGGCCCCCGTGGTCAGTCCCACCACAGTCGAGACTCCCGTCCCCACAGTATCCCTCCATTCTAACCTTGAAAACAGAAGAAGCCAACAATGTGGGCTAAATTCCAGAAGATTTAGACCCTGGCCCCAGCTCCATCTCTTCACCCCCTTTGTTGCCATCAGTTCAGGCTTGGAGCTTGGATATTCTGCATATTGATCTAAATCTAACTCACCTGAAGATCTCTGGGGTTTTGGGTCTGGGTGGAGGCTCAGCTGCCTATTGAACATTCAGGAGAAATGAAGAAGGGAAGGAGGGGGAGAGAGAACAGACTGTTAATGGTAATTTGAGCCTTCTTCCAGACCAGAAAATCAAAGAATGCGTTTCTGGCTCACTCAGAGCACAGTCTAGGGAGAGGGCACAGTGTACTCTGACTAACGCTGGAAAATAACACCTCCCACCAGCTCCCCGGGTACAGGTGTTACCAGCACAGCAATTCATCTTGAGCCAGACCTGATTTCTGGAGAAGTTTAGCTGTCACAGAGCATCATGGCGTCACAAGGATGCTTTTGACCTTGAGCTCCATCCCTTTCCTGGGACAGTTTCCACAAGCTCTGTTCTATAATTAATGTCTGTTATATCACATGACACGTGGGTATTTAAAATCAACTCAAGATCCACTGACCAGGTAAGAATCTCCTTTCAGTGTATGTTCCCTGTTCTACACTGACTACCATGGAGTCCAGTCATCTGGGCTTCTTCCCTGCCTTGGAGTCCTCTGGCTGCTCTGAAGCCCAAGGAACCTCTGCAAGGCTTTCTTCAATTTTATTGTGAAGAGAGAGATCAAAGAATCTTGAATCTCCTTCTAACCTCCTTTGCTAATCTCACCCCCCAGAGCCCCCCACATTCCAGGCCAGCAGTCATCATTCTGACCTGGTAAACTGTCAGGTAGACCAGGTGTGTGCAGACTGGAGTGGAGGCACCACATTCGGAAAACCCTCCCCCTGCTAGTGCTGACCAACGCCCATGCCCATCCCAGTTCTGTTGCATCAGAGCTCGAATTTTCCTCAGCCTGTCTTACCCTCTGCCCTTCACAAGGAAGCTCTGCTTTTGCATTTCTAGACCCACTGTCATCCAGTCCATCTGGGACCATCTCTCCGAGCCCAGCTTGGGTGGAAAAGTGGTTCCCTCTGGGCACCCTGCCTGTGTTCCCAAGGGAATCCCCAGCCGCAGGCAGATGGAGGGAGCCAGAAGAGCCCCCGGCCTCAGGCCCCGGGCCCCTTGGGAGTCCCCTACTAGTCCCTGTGACCTAGAACAGGCATTGTTAGAAAGTCTCTGATAGCTTACGTTTCAATTTTCTGAGAATATTCGAGGCTTCAGTAGAGAGGATCAACAGAAGCTCTCTTAGAACTTAGAGAAGTGAAGACTGGAATTTGGGGGGAAGCAGGAGGGCTGGTTTCTGAGGACTAGAGATTAAGCCTAAAACTGCCTTCCTGCCTACCAGTCCTGGACCCTGTGATCAAGGACGGGCAGGCAGACCCCCTCAGCAGCATTGAGAGGTCAGTTAAAGGAGCCCTTAAAATGAGGCAGCGCCGCACAAATATTCTACCCAGATGGACGTTTCACAGAGAGCTCTGGAGACCTAGATCCACGGAGAAGGACAGGGCTGCCTCACCTGTGGCTGCAGAGGGGCAAACCCCGAGAAACTGTCTTGATCCACCACAGATGCCACGACCTGAAATCGAGGAAGGAGCGGGTGAAGGCTCTGCCAGCACTCTTTCCCCATCCTTCTGGGGTTTTCCCCAAGATTCCCTCCTTTCTCACACCCTGGATCCATTCTCACGGACGCCTGGTTCCAGAAGTGGGCAGTGGCTAAGGATTGGATTGCTGACCCTTTGAGTTAGAATTTCCAGCCACTGAAGAAACTAGTTCCCATCCCACCCCCACTAACCCAGCAGGCTCTCTCTGTGTCTTTTTTTTTAAATTTTTTTATTGAGATGAAGTTCACATAATATCAAATTAACCATTTTAAAGTGAACAATGCAGTGGAATTTAGTATATTCACAGTGCTGTGCAACCACCACTTCTATCCAGTTCCAAAACATTTTCTTCACCCCAAAAGAAAACGCCATACCTATTAAGCAGTTAGTCCACATTCCCCTTCCTCCTAGCACCTGGCAATCACCAGTCTGCTTTCTATTTTTGTGCGTTTACCTACTCTAGATATTTCACATAAATGGAATTATATAACACTTGGCTTTTGTATCTGGCCTTCTTTCACATAGCATAATGTTTTCAAGGTTCATCCGTGTTTTAACTTGTATTGGTACTTCATTCCTTTTTATTGCTGAGTAATATTCCGTTGTCTGGCTATATCACATTTTGTTTATCCACTCATCAACTGATGGACATTGGGGTGTTTCCACTAACCCAGGCTCTCTTGAACTCTCTTGAACTACTATGCCAGAACCAGCTACCCAGTCAGTAGGCAACTTGTGCCCTACTAATGTGTCAAAGTCAAGTGCAGTTTTGGAAGAGGACTATTGACTCATTTGGATAATTTCTGAGAGAATTTGAGACCTGGATTCAGGAGGAGTCCAGTTTAAGAAGGAGTCTAATCATAGGGCTGTGAAAGTGAGACTATAAGGAGCATTAAGCCAAGAGGATGCCATGCTGGTCCATTTGCCTAACATGTTCTCTCCACATTTAGTGAGCACCTTGTAGCTGTGTTTTCTTTCCACTGGCTCAGTCCCCAAGACTCAGCATCCTGTGAGTAACCGTGTGGCTCTCACCCCAGGTCAGGCTAGAAGGGAAGAATGAGAGGAGCCTGGAGAAAATAAACTAGAAGCATTTGCCCATCTTTCAGCAAGACCTCCACACTGTAAACCATCTCTCACTGCCATCCCAGGGCAGAACCACAGGCAGGTGCCTTGTTCCCAACAGTCACTCTGACCCTGCTCCGCACGGCCCGCGCTGTAGGAGCCTCAGGGGAAGTTGAGAGTCCCACTTACCGTCGCCTTGCCTAGGTAATCCTTCTTGGCCAGTTGAGCCACTTGCCTCTCATTTGGCCGAAACAACCTGCCCACAGGGATCACCACTGGCTCATACAGCTTCTGTTTCTATAACACAGAGAGCAGAGAATTTCCTTACCTGTAAAATGGGGGTTACAATGCCCGACTTGCCTCCCTCACTGAATGGATGCAAGGATCCATTGAGATAACCTCACAAAAGCACTTTTTCAAAATTTGTAAGGACTGAACTTGTTACTATTTCTGGGTACCCAAGGTAGGAACAGTTGGTTTCAATATCACTGTATACTGAGAGGCTGTGTGGTCATCTGCCAGTGTTATCTGCCCAGCACCCTCTTTTCCTGGGGAGGTGCCCCTCTCCCTCTCTGTGTGGCCCGGGTGGGGCTGTCACTCACAATGCAGGAGGGACCACAACTGCAAGGCACCACCCAGGACCCAAGCAAGACCCATGACAGTGCTCTCTTGGGATTAGTGTCTGCTGACATGGACAGGCATGTAAAGCCTGACTTGAGCCCCCTTATTCCTGGTGTTTTAAAAACCTTATTTAAAACTAGCTTCATCCCAAATGTGCTTAGACAAACGGTGGATAATTTGCACCATTCGTTCATATAATCAATACATTTTTGTTGAGAGCCGTCATGTGCTTGGCACTGTGCCAGGCTGCTGGGAGGACTCAACGGCGAGCAAGCTGGCACAGCCTCATCCTCATGTGCTTGGTTCCAGCCTCCAGCCTCCTGCTGTCCCTGTGCCTCCACGGAGCCCCACTTGGAGGGCGGTGTGAAGCGGGGCTCTGCTGTCCCGTACTCTAGGCCTCAACCTCTCAGCACTTCCAGATTCAAGATCCCACGTGGAACTATACCCCAAGACTGCTGTTACCCAGAGCTCAGAGAAATAAGAGCACCACTTTCATGGTTTCTCAATCCACATGTCCCCTGAAACAAATAAAAATCCAATGAAATCCTTTCACTACCCCGCATCACTGAGACACTTACCCAAACACATTCCATGGCTCTGTCAATTTTGGAATGTCTGGGCTCAGACTTCATGTTCGTAGCCAATGCTAAATGTTCCTCAGCTTTTTTCCATTCCTTCTTCTTGGCATACATGAAAGCAATATTATATAACACCTAGAAAAGCACAGACCACAACAAAACTGGAGGCTGCTCCCAATCTAAGAACCAGGGAAGAGCTTGCGTGTATGCTTCTGGAATGTTGCCTGGTGACACATCTCCCTTTCCCAGCTCTCCTGGGAATATCTAAAATATAATCAATCTTGCTACCAAGTTATGTCCAGCACAAGGACGGTGTTAAGAAAACAGCATGTAATGCATAAATCCAGCATCATGTGCGTTCTTTCATCAACCAAGTAGCTCAGGTGGGGACAAGAACTATTGTGTTGTTTTAGTATTGAGAAGAGCGGCGTGCTCAAGGCCCCTTGAAGAGTTAGGAATAAAATGCACGTGTATGTGGCCTCCCAGACCAGCTCCTGCCACTGAGCCTAGGCTGAAAGACTGGACAGGAGTGGGGTGGGGAGAAGGAGGTTTCCAGATGCATCGTCCTGTACCAGCACCAACAGAACCCTGCCTGGAACACAGGAGTAACTAACAAGACTGTGATATAGTCATATGGGCACGAGGAAACTTCACTGGCAAAAGTCCAGTGGAGCTGGAAGGAGACTTGGCACAAAGCCAGGGCAGCACTTCACCTGGATGGAGGGGTGGGAAGGGCACTTGCACCAACAGGCATAATTTTCCAGGTCTTGAGTTGGGTGGTAGGTTCATGAGTGTCTGTTTTATTATTATGCTTCACAACTTACACATAGAATCAAATAATCTTTTGGATGCCTCAGCAAGACAAGAAAACCACTTGACTGAATGAGGTAAAAAGGACGCGTAAGCAAAGATGGAAAAGCAACAGAGAGCAGAAGAAAATCAAGATGGCAACTAACAAAAAGTGTTCGCTTTCCTTCTTTTTAACGACAGTGCAGCGAGTTCTTAGGGCTCCCTGCACCACGTGTGAAGAAAGAGCTGAACAGCCAGGAGCTGCTGCCAGATTTTCACAGCTGAAAGTTATAGGTGTCACAGCCTGAAGGGCTGGGTGCAGTGGGGCATGTCGCCAGGGCCTCAGAGAGGAGATACTGAGGCCCAGCTAGAGCAGAGGATTGTTGGCCTCCCAAGCTGTAACGCGCGGAGGTAGTACAGTGGAGGGGTTAACAGCACAGGTACCAGGGCTGTTTTCTAGTATGTGGCCTCAGTTTCATTGTAAAATGGTGACAATAACATTCCTGCCTCTAGATTGTTGTAAGAAATAAATGAAATCATTCACATAAAGCACTCAGTTCAATTGCTTGGCACGTGGCAGGTGCTCATTAAATATTCAGTACTATTATTACCATTATCTGCTGTGTTATCTTGGGACTTGCTGGGAGGCTGAGCAAAGAAGGGCGTTTACCCCCCAAGTCTTGCATGCCTGCTCGGGGAAAGTAACAATGCCCACGTGATTGAGGGGAAGATGACAGGGCTGAGTTTAGCAGACTGATGCCATCTGGAGATGCTTCGGTTTATAATCACAAGGCTAAATCTACGAAAAACTTTGGGCTCCTAGACGTCAGTGCTGCCTGTTGGAGGCAGTATCATTGTCATTGTTGTCATCATTGTATCATCATCATCACTGATACCATTTACTGACCACCTATTCTGGGCCAGGCACTTTATCTGCATTATCTGTAAGCCTCACAGCCACCATCTGAGTGAGGGGCCTCACTCTGTGCTTCCATACTCCTTCTGTAGCACTTCTCTTGTCCTAACCTTACCACCTCACGTTAGACATGACCACGAGCTTCTGGGCACTGACACCTTGTCTTGTGGACAACTGGACCTCTGTTGCCTGACATTAGCACGCATTATCAATGTATGCACAAATAAATGAGTTTATTAATGAATGTGTATGAGGTAAGAACTGAACCTTCTTTACAGATGAGGAGGAGCCTGCAGCTCAGAAATGACACGTAACTTACCCAGGATCATACAACTAGTAAGTGTCAGGATGGGATTTGATCTCTATCTATCTGATTCCAAAGTCCTTGCTTTTAGTGGTAGCCAGCTTCCAAGACGGCCCCCAGTGATTCTCACCTCCGGGACTCACCCTCCTGTGTAGTTCCCTCCTACATCCAATAGAGCTGACATGTACAGCCAATAAGATGTTATGGAAATGGGGGGGGGGTGACATTTGAGCCTATGTTATAAAAGACATTGACACTCCATATTACTTTCTCTTGGACTTTTACTTTCTCCAGGGGAAGCCAACTGATGTCATGACAAGACAAGCGGCCTGCTGGAGAGGTTCGTGAGGCAAAGAACCGAGGCCTCCTGCCAACAAGCAACGCTAAGTTGCCAGATGTGTAAGTTACCTCAGAAGTAGATCCTCCAGCCCCAGTCAAGCTTTCAGATGATGACAGCCCTGGCCAACATCTTGAGTGCAACTCCATGAGAGCCTCTGAGCCAGAACCACCCAGCCAAGCCACTCTTGGATTCCTGACCCCAGAAATGGTGAGACGATAAATGGTATTGTTTTAAGCCACCATGTTTTAGAGTAATTTGGTGTTTAGCAATGGATAACTAATATACTTCTGTATACCAGTCATCCACCGCACCATGGTTTGGTTCAGGGCCTCATCCAGATAGAAAGAACAGTGTATCAAGGAAAGTATGGATGGGTGGGAGGATTGGTGTTTCCATGGAGTTAGTGGCTAGTGCTGGACGATGGGGACTGGGACCTAGGCCAGAAGTGGAGACTGAGACTCCTTTCCAGGCCTATTTCTGAGCCTCGACGAGCTGTTGCCTTCTGAAAACATGCTTGGCTGGCCCAACCCACCCCTGACCAGGTGTGCAAGGAAGGAGAACTCAAACTTCCTGTTTGGTTCTCAGCCACCTTCTGTTTAGACATTTTCCTACAAGAGGTGTTATGACTTAGTGACTGAAAAAGCCTGAGATTCTTTTCAAGAAGGATGGTGTGATTTCTCAGAAGCCAGAGTTATACTCTGGTGGGAAGGGAGGGGTGGCATTTTAAGTAGAGAATGACTGGAGGGTCTCATGAGGCAGAAAGGCCGCCTACCCTGAAAGTCCAGCCTTACTTGCAAAGAGGCCCACACAGCCAGTATTTCCTGCCCCCAGGTCATTTCAACTCCAACTGTGAGGAGGACATTCCTCCCACAGAATTCTGCTTTGATGTCATTTTGGCATGATCCTTTCTCTGGAGCTGCTTGGTCCCCTTCCCTTTAATTTATGTAAGTGTTTCTCAATTGGAAGTGACCGGTAACGTGTAGAGATATTTTAGGTTGTCACACTGGGGGCGGGGGTGCTACTGGCATGTAGTGAGTAGAGGCCAGGGATGCTGCTAAACATCCTACTATGTGCAGGACAGCCCCCCACTACAAAGAATTATCTGGTCCAACATATCAATAGTGCCATGGTGGAGAAACCCTATTCTAGAAGCTGGCCAAATGGCAGCCAATTCCCACCACAAAGCCTCATTTCCCTAGACTGTGAGAAGTGAAGTAACTAGCTAGCCTGCTGCAGGGCTGGATGGGGACCCACGTCCCCAGGGACCTGGGCAGCTGCGGCCTCTATTATTAGCCCTGAGCGACCCTGGGGGCACTTGGCTTCTCCTGCCTGAGAAACTAAAGCAAGGGGACTTTTTTCAATGATTCTTCTAAATAAAGATCTACAATATTTACAGAGATTTTAGTTTTTAAAGGCATTGGTGTATATTTGGAGGATAGGAGCAGAGTGGGGAGGGTTGGTTGAAAAAGTACACAAACCTGTCATGTTTCTCCCTTTTGGTAATACAGAAATTAAGTTGTCCTTCTATGGAAACCTTTCCTACATGTGTGCTTTGAGCTGTTCTTTGAGCAAGAGGGGACAGATTTGTGTCAAAGAATCCTCACTCTCTTTTTTGGTATCAACCAAGTACATGAGGCCAGAACCATTAATAGCAAAGAGCATGATCTGTGATTTGGGAACTGAGCAAGGGTAGCTCAACTCCAACTGTGAGGAGGACATTCCTCCCACAGAATTCTGCTTTGATGTCATTTTGGCATGATCCTTTCTCTGGAGCTGCTTGGTCCCCTTCCCTTTAATTTATGTAAGTGTTTCTCAATTGGAAGTGACCGGTAACGTGTAGAGATATTTTAGGTTGTCACACTGGGGGTGGGGGTGCTACTGGCATGTAGTGAGTAGCAGGTCCTACATGGATAGTGAGCCCACGATTTTGGATTTGTTAGTATAATACTGTGCAAATAGCCTGTCAACCTGAATTATGCAAATTATTATGAATACTTTCACAGGCCAATGCACTCGTGTCCAGCCTCCCTTCAGAGAGCTAGTAGGCTCATTTTTGCAAGGTCCTTTGAGCCTCCCTTTAATAAAATGCATGCCCTCAGGTAACTGAATACTCCATGATGAGCCTGGAGTCATTGATCTGAGTCTTTTCTTAAAGGGAAAATCTGAGTCCCAAGGCACAGGAGACGAAATGCCTTTTCCAAGCTCCTGAAAGCGTCAACAGATGGCTGTGCATCTGAACCATCAGCTGCCCCTGGGCCACGACCCACTCCTGCCCAGGCTGGGCCCTCCCTCCTTACCTCACAAGCAAACAGCTTGAACTGTAGCCCTAGGATCTTGTAGTCTATCAGCTGGTTCCCTCGAAGCTGAGTCAAGGCCTCTTTAAGGTCTTTAATAGCTGAATCGTATCTGCAGGAGAGAGGGAGAAAATAAACCAGCCGAGGGCATGGAGGAATAAATGCGGAATAAAATGTGTGTCTGCCTCCCTTTCCCCAGCCCTCTCACTGGGACAAGAAGTCTTTCCAACTCTTTTTGACCTGCTCTACTTTTCACCAACCCTGAGCCCCAGCATTCCATGGAACTCAACGGGAAGGTGCCCCCTGGGGTTGTGCATCCCAGAAATCCTGAGTGTCCCCCAGTCTCAGGAGGTGGCAGCTATTTTCATCTCTGTTGACTACATACAGCTCCCACCTCTCTGACAACCAGCTTGTCAGTCTCCAATGGAGCCCTCATTCTCCTCTGCGAGCTCCAGGCAGAGCTGGCACAGGCCGGCCCCTGTGTCCTGCAAACTGATTCAGAGCACCGCTCACTCCTCGCTCCTCACTCTAAGGCCAGGCCAGCCTGACACAGCTGTGAGCGGCCCCTTCTCACAGCCTCTGACATCACCCTCCTGCCCAGAGCCTTCTCCTCCCGCTTCTGTGGAGTTCATCTTAGCTCTTGGTTTTGTGTCCTTCTTAGTCTGCTTTCCCCTCCCCCCTCCTCCACACGCTTTGGAAAAAAGGAAAAAGAAAGCGCCACTGAAGCCAGATAGCGTTTCTAACCGTGCTCCTGGCCCTGCCCTTTTGCTTGTTGGATTGGCATTGTGCTGACAGGCTCAAGGTGTGTCAGGGCTGTTGTCATCGGATTGGTGGCCGAGAATGGGGCTGACCACATCAATAGTGCCCAAGGGGTGTGGGCAGGACCTGGACACACACTCCTGAGGAGGCTGGCCCAGGGCTCCTTGGCCTGCCCCTGACCTCCACAGAGGCCCTGGTGAGAAGGAGCCATTGCTGGGCTTCGGGGGGTCACAGCAGCAAAAATCAAACTACCTACCTGCCCCCGGGTCCCTGGCCTGGCAGGAACAAATTTGGCTGTCTGGTTGTGGCTCCCACTGGGGCAACTGAACTGCAAGTCCCTTGGCCGCTGCCTGATCCAGAGCTGCCATGTGTGGCTTCTCCTGGAGGCAAGCCTGGAATGTGAATGCAGGCTGGTGGGGACCCCCAAGAGGTCATGTGGTGTAGTGAAGGCACCCTAGGACAGGCGCCAAGAGACTGGGACCAGATCCATTAGCTCTGCCACCAACTGGGAGACCCTGACAAATTAATTCCTTGGCCTCAGTCTCCATGTCAATAATATAAGGAGCATATTGTGTACAAGGAGCATATTATATTCAAGGAATGTATCATATGAGGAGCTTTCTAGTATGTGGTCCCGGATCTAATTTCTAGAGTCAAAACCACATGGACTTGAGTCCTGGCTTGCCACTTCCTATCTAGTGACAAAGGGCAAGTTACACAATTTCTCTATGTCTGGTTCCTCATCTTTAGAATTAGAGAATAATAACAACACGTGCCTCACGGGATTGTCGTGAGCACAAATGAGATGAAGCATTCAGGCGCTTAGGAGGGTGCCCGGCACAGACAGTAATTTACTATTATTTATATTATATTATTTTTTCAGCTTTAAAAGTCTGACAATGAAATTAATATACCAGTCATTTATTACATGCTTACTTCAAGTTCTATTCTGAATTAGGTATTAGCAGGAGATAAAAATACACAGTTGTAGAAGCTGGAACTCTGATCTCAGGAAAGCTTGAGCTGATCAGGAGGGAGGGCTGGCCGAGAAAGCCCTAAGGAACGTGTAGCCAGGGTGGCTGGGGGAGAAGCTGGACGTTCTGTCATCATTTGGGAGGAAGTAACTCACACAGCAGCGGTGGCTACAGGAGTAATGGGAGAAGACAGCCTGGGTTTGAAACAGGAGGATGGCTTCTCTAATGTGTCCTTATTAATAAAGATGATTGTGCAACCTATTAAAAGCATGCAGGCCATTCCTCAAGAAGCATTTCAAGGGGCCAGCCCCATGGCATAGTGGTTAAGTGCGCGTGCTCCTCTGCTGGCGACCAGGGTTCGCATCCCGGGCACGCACCAATGCACTGCTTGTCAGGCCGTGCTGTGGCGGTGTCCCATATAAAGTGGAGGAAGATCGGCATGGATGTTAGCTCAGGGCCAGTCTTCCTCAGCAAAAAGAGGAGGATTGGCATGGATGTTAGCTCAGGGCTGATCTTCCTCACCAAAAAAAAAAAAAAAAAAAAAAGAAGCATTTCAAGTCATTTACACATCCTTTTGGGCATTCCTGTGAAGGGGAAGAAGCTATGCATCCCTGGGTGGCTGGCTTCAATTCACTGGGCCAAGAAGGAGGGGCAGGCAGAAATGCAGGTGTCTTGTTCCGTGGGCAGATGAGGTTTCCACTGTGTTGCACGGCCTGTTTGTGAGATAGCCGAAGGTCCTCAGAGGGCACGCTTTAAGTACTGTCAGCGTTAACCTACAAATGTGCCTTCCTCGCCAGCGAGCTGGCTCAGCAGATAAATTTCAGCTGAGAAGTAACACCGCCTGTGTCTACCTGGTGTTGAAGGAGGCCCAACAAAGTCCTGCTCATAATTCTCCCGTCCATCAAGATGTCTAAAGAGCTGGGCCCGGCGGAAGGGAGAGAGAAAGACCTGATAAATTATTCAAAGTGCTTGCTTTGAATAAAACAGGGTGGGAGTCCCCCTGATAAATGTCCATTTTTAAACACATCTTTAAAAGCATCGCCCTGACTGCTGGCCACAGGCCTCTCCTCAGCCCCCCACTTGTTTACCCAGAACTGCACCCCTGGGGCATCGCTTTGACACACAGCTCTGTTTGCTGCCGCACGGGGTCTGAATAAGCTCATTATGAAAACTCCAAAACAGCATTCAGCCCTGGGTGCTGATGGGCCGTGGGCAGCAGCCCCCGCCTCCCTCCAGCCCTTCTTCAGGAGTTCTCTTTGGTGCCATTTGGAACCCACAGTGTCCCCTAGAAGGCCAAGGTGCTGGAGCTTCCTGCCGGGTTCTTCTGGGCTGAGCGCGAGTGCTTTCTTCACACCCACACCCCAATGACACCCCACCAGGCACCTTGGCTGAGCTGTTCCCTGAGCCCTCGCTCCCCCCAGGCAGGGGCTCACCAGCACAGCGGCAACCTTGCTGTGCCTTTTCACAGGCTCTGAGCTGAGAGGGTTTGTAATCCTCATTTCTGTCATACTCCCTGTAAAGGTTTCTTAGTAACTACTGACGTTCCTGATTGTTCCTGTGCTACCAATGCCCCACGAGTCTAGAATCCTGCGACTCATACACTTGTACTCAGCATAATGGAGAGGTTTAGCAAACTGAAAGAAGTCAAAATGTCAAACACTTCTATGACAGGGGCTGGGGGCCCTGCCCTGTCCTGTTTCAGAGACAGCAGAGAAAAGGCTTTGCTGTGTTGCCTCTTGGGGCCAGCTCCGTCTAAAGGGTCTGGCCGTGATTCTCATGGCCCTCAGATTCATAAGGCCCAGGATCTGAAGCACAACTTAGAGCTCCCTTCCCCTTTTGGATGACAAGGCTGGGATCTGAGAGGTGAGGCAGTCTGGCCACAGTCATCGCCGAGACACCACCTGCCTTCTCAGAAATGCACCCTAGCTTTGTTCTCTGGAACTGTATGATGGCAGGAGAGGCACACAACCACATGTGAAAGTGGGGGAATCCGAGAGAAAAAAACACCCAAAACATTATCACCCTAAAATGATCCCGTTGTAATCTGAAAGAATTCCTAACCCACTCATTAAGAAGTAATTTTTCTAGTCCCCATGGCACTTATTTAAATATCTCTGATAGCACTTGCCCCATTCTGCCTTACGTTATAGTAACTAGTGTTCGTGACCTGTTCTCTCCTTTTAATTTATAAGTTCCTTAAAGCAGAGGCTATATTTTGCTCACTTTTGTTTAATTAATTCAATAAACATTTATTAATTACTATACTTGATACTGAAATGTAAGAGTGAAAAAGGAAAGATTTCTCCTCGCGAGAAACTCACAGAGTGGTGGAGGAGACAAAAATACAGGCAAATATCTGTCATAGAGCAGACAGATGGTATAAAAGGAGGCAGAAACAGAGTGGTTGCTGCCCTAGTGGTTGAGTGTGTCTGGGGCAAACGCACAGAGGATGAATGAGTGGGTAGACAGTGGCTGGACCACATAGGAACAGACAAGGGAATTTGGCCTTTACCCTACAGTAATGGGAGCCACTGGAAGTTCTTAAGCAGATCACACGTATATATATATGTTTTTTGGTGGGGGCGGGGGATGAGGAAAACTGGCTCTGAGCCAACATCTACTGCCAATCCTCCTCCCTTTGCTGAGGAAGATTAGCTCTGAGCCAACATCCGTGCCCATCTTCCTCCACCCTGTATATGGGATACCGCCACAGCATGGCCCGACGAGTGATGTGTCAGTCTGCGCCCAGGATCCGAACCTGCGAACCCTGGGCTGCCGAAGCAGAGCGAATGAACTAACCACTACGCCACCAGGCCGGCCCCCAGATCACATATATTTTTTAAGAAGACCACTCTGGAATACGCATGGAGAAGACAAGACTGATGGCCGGGATATCAGTTCGGAAGTGATTACAATAGTCGTGGTGAAAAATGAGAGTCCAAACCAGGGCAGTGCTGGTGGGGATGGAGAGAAATGGGTAGATTTAAGCGATATTTAAGAAGTCAACTTGACAAGGTTTAGGAAAAGAGACATTCTGGGCTGATACCAGGTAGAGACTTAGTAGCTGGCTGGCTACAGATGGAAGTCAATGCCATGGGAGAGGGTGGTGGGATCCGTTAAGGGTTCACACATAGATTTTCAGGGGACACTGAACCCCCTGAAACTGCACGTAAAAGTATGTATGTGCTTGTGTGTGTGTTCCTGGGAAGAGAGCCCATAAATTTTATCATTTACCAACACTGTTACAGGGATAAAAGGGAAAAGGATCAAGAGCAGAACCTTGGGAGAGGGGACACCAATGCCTATGGATTGAGCAAAAGAAAAGAAGGTGGCACAGGGTGGAGAAGAGTGCCTCATTTATATTATTTCCTCAAGAGGTAGTTATTGAATTAAAGATAAAATTTGGAAGACTTTTCTCTCAGGTTTAACTATTATCAATCACAGACTAACTGAATCCTGGGTCTTATTCCTAGATCTTTCTAAGATCTTTCTGACTCACTCAAAATCTGGGCCCTTCAGACTCCGAGACTTCTGGGTATTTTCACATCGAAACTTCTTCTGGGAGCCTTCCCTCTTTGCCAGTTGTCTCTCCTCATTATAGGTCTTAGAGCTAATTAAAGGACAGCCTTGGAGTTTGTCTTTTGAGATTTAAGATCAACCGGAGGATTTGTGCCCAGGCCTCCCTGCATATCCTATACATCTGGAGAACCTAGGGGATGAGGGAGGGAGGATGAGAACGAGAAGGATGTTAAGAAGGAAGACAGAGGCAAGAGGCCGCTAAAAGGTAAATGCCTGGACAGCTTCTCTCAATCTCAGGCTCTCTCTCCTCAGATTGCCTCTGTGTCTGTGGGGTTTTTGGGGGGAAGGGTGGAGGAAAGACTTCACTCCTACTGGTCTTCATTCAGGTAATTGACCACATCTACATCCTGGAAGTCCTCTGAGCTTCTTGTAGTTGCCCCTGGCAACAGCTGAGCACAGCTGCCTTACAGGCTCTGTTTCTGACTAAACTGTAGGAACAAAGCCTTTCCAGGTTGCACAGGATCAGAGCCCAGCCCTCTCCCCAGTGCCTAGACATTCTCTGTAGGCCTCCCCTCTGCCCCACCAACACCCTACCTTACCTGCTCTGTGTGCGCACGGGTGAGAGCACACACACACACACACACACACACACAAACACACACACATACACACACACCCGCCCACTCCATGCTCCAACCATTTCTGAAAGTTCTTCATTAGCCTGAGCCAAATTCTTCTTCCCTAGAACTTGTGCCCACTAATGGAACAATTTCTACAAAGAGTCAGTTTGCCATCCCCTAAAATATCTTAAATTGATGCTTAAAATATTTTTTCTTTGTTTTTTGTATATTTGTTATTGGGGTATTTTGGGAAGGGGAATGGGAATTGAGATTAACTTTCATTTTCTACTTATTTTTTTATTAATTATTTTGTATTGACTGTAGACGCACCAAAAAATACTGATAGGCTGATAGAAGACAATGGAAATCCTTATAATTTCACCACCCAGAGAGAACTGCTGACAACATTTTGGTCTGTGGCCTTCCAGACTACGCTGTGAACCAGAAATGGAATTGTGTTATGCATACAGTTTTGAAATCTGGTTTTAAATTTAACATCTACTGTGAACTTTTTTCCATATTAATATATATGCTATTTATTTATCTGTATTAATATATTCTTATACATATAATGTTAATAGTTCATATTTACATTTTGGTGTCTGAATTGGATTTCACTGAATGCATTAAACCAGGCTTTTGAAATCACATTCTGCAGGAATGAAGGAAGGTTTTGATGTGGTTTCAGGATAATCCTCATTGTGTGACAGCGCAATACCTCCTAATAGCAGACCACCATGGTTGTCCCCTTGGTGGCCAAAATACTTACAACCAGCACAGCCCAGGCTATGACCCATCAGGGACGCTGGTGGGGTGCCACACCAGCTGAATACCAGGCCGTGGTGGTTACACAGGCTCATTGTGAGCTGTGACACAGCTGGTTTATAATTGGCAGGTCTGCATTCCCTCCCCCGGCAGGGCTCCCACCTCGTGCTGATTTATTGAGTAACTTCCCAGAGAAGGTCCAGTCACGCTTTTCAACAGAGGTTGGGAGATACTTCCCAAACCCCAAGTCTAGCAGCACAGAGACCTTCTCCGGGTTTCTCTGCGAACTTCCCCAGCTTGTGCAACACTGGACCACTTACTTCTCTATTTGGTAGTAGAGCATCCCTCGTTGGAAGTAGGCCACCGCCAAGTGCTTGTCTCGATTAATGCTTTTAGTGAAGGCCTGCGGAGAGAAGGGCCCATAGGTGGCTGAGGAGCCGGGCAGTGAGGGGGTGTGAGATGAGCCAGAGGGTGAGGCAAGAAGCGTCAGGAGAACAGATGGTGTCTAGAAGGTGACAGGAGGCTCAGGGGTCAGACAGGCGGGGTGAAAACGCCCTGTGTTGTCACTTTCTAGTGGCACGGCGTGAGGCAATCTACCTAATCTCCTTGAACCTTATTTTTCTCCTCTGTAAAATGGGGATATTAAAATCTGCCTTTCACAATTACTGACAAGATTAAAATAATAGGTAAAAGTAATTATGAAAATAACAATTAAAATGTTATATACACTATTATATTTGTTTATTACATAAATTCATGATATAGATGTTATACAATTAAAATAATAACAACAAAGAATGCATATAAAATGCCAGTAGCAAGGACTCAAGCAGGAAACCAAAGAAAGGCAGAGAGTGAGAAGGTCAGCAGCAGAAGGATGCGAGGAGAAATCCAGAGCAGGGAGAGGAAGGCGTGGGAGTGAGCTAGCTGACAGGTGCACGGTGCCAGCATAGCCTTTCCTGGGAGTGCCCGTCGAGGCAGAAGCAACCAGCCCGGCTCCATCCCTGCCCCCAGACGGGCTGCTATGCGTTGCGTTGCCGGCTTCTTCTCCCCGACAGTGTGCACTTTGTCTCTGGCAGCCCTCAGAATCTGTGGTGCTCTTTGCTCAGCCCCCGGGCAGGCCCCTGAGAGGAGGTGGGGGCCCTCGCGTGCTCCTGTCTGCCCACCCTGGAGCCTGAGATGGACCTGTTGGGCCTCGCGGGCATTCAAGTGGCTTCTCTCCTCTTCTTTGCTCATCAGCTGGTCACAGTGAGGATGGCTGTGGCAGGAACTGGCTCTTTGAGGGTGCTGGGGAGTCAGTTATCTGTCCACGTCTCCTTGCAAAGACTGGCAGTAAGAGGTGAAAATAAGAACTAACATGTACATAGTGATGTGAAGTTACACAGCACTTTCATAGTTGGTGCCTCACTTAAGCCTCATGATGTTGAACCTCTCAAGAAACTGAGAGCCAGAAGTCCACATGACTTGCTGAAGCACAAAGGTCCAGAGAGAGGCAGAGCTGGGATTGGATCCTAGATCTTCTGCTTCCAAACTTCATATCCTTTCTGCTTACCAGGACCAATCCAAAAAGTGATTATTGAAAATACTCAACCCGATATTAGGGAATATGAGAGAGAAAAAATATTTGAAAAAGATGCTAAGACATCCCACACCGTGCCCTTGGCAGACATCATGAATCAATTACATGACTTCCTTCTGCCAGCCTCAGAATCCTCAAAAGAGTGCCCCACATCATTGATCAGAACTGTCACTTGAAATAAAACCTAGTTTTCTTAAGTGCCTCCTCTTGATCTCTTGGGCAGACACAGCTCGCCCATGAGAAATTCTGGGAAAGCCAAAAGAGGTGCAAAGCAATAAGATGGAGATCCTGTGGTTAGCAGAAGTTCAAAGAAGAAAACATAACTAGAGGTGTCTTCATAAAGGTGTTCAAGAAGGATTCCAGAATGATTTGAACTTAGCAGATGGAGAAGAAAGGAGGGCATAGCCCCCAGCTAGTGCTTCCCAGCCTCCGCTGCCCATTAGAACCACCTGGGGAGCTTTTAAAAACTATGGCTGCCCAGGCCCCTGCCCGGGCCAATTAAACAGGATCTCTGGAGGTGTGGCCTGGGCAGCTTTTGTTCTTTTAAAGCTCCCCAGAGGTTTCTAAAATGCCCAGGGCTGGGAACCACTACTTACAAAGGCAGGAGGAGGCCCCGGGGAGAGGCACCTCCACTCACCTTCTCTGCCTCCAGCATGTTTTCCAGGATTGTGTGTATGCAGCCCATGTTGAAGCAAATCCTGGAGTGAGGGTCCTGGACTGCGGTGAAGGCGTCTAGGGCTCCCTTCCAGTCCTTCTTGTCAGCTGCTAGCACCCCTTCATTCCAGAGGCTGATGGCCTCAGCCAGGGACATGGTCAGGTGCCAACCAGGAGGCTGTGAGCGCTGCCAGGAGACAGGGAGAGGACCAGCAGACGTCTCCCACAGCGGGGCTGCCCTCAGGCCTTTGCTTTCCTGGCCTGGTGCTCAGAATGGGGTCCAGCCTCTCTTAAGACAACTTCTCCGTGTTGCAAAGGCATCCGGAAATGTCCCCACATTTCAGCAACTGACGCATCACCCTGCCACGAGAGAAAAAGGGAAAGAGACAGAGAGAGGGCAGATGGGGGCGGAGTGTGCAGGAGGGAGGAAGTACATCAGATACTGCCTGGGATGAATCAGTTCCCCAAAACGTTTCTGCTGTCACCCAGCTGGTCCCCTCCATCTTCCACCTGCCTCTGCGGCAGCTTCTGGCCAGGGCCGTGCCCCCAGGCTCAGGGCAACCTTGGCAGGTCGATGCACCTCCCTGGGCCTGAATTTCCACACCTTGTTAAATGAGGGTGTTGGATGCGAGAATAGTACTTTTCAGTCTTAAATGAATTCTTTGCTCACTTTCTCATCACCTCATAGACTGTCTCGATGTATTTATTTTTTTACCTTGAGCCGATATGAGCAATTAACACATTTCCGAGGCGGGATGGTCTTGGGTGTCCATCTGGGTCTGAGATAACTTTTATGAAGGCTTAGGAAGCTCAGAGGGGACCGATTTCCTGCAAATGCCAAAATTAGAAGACAGATGTGACAGCGAATTACGACTTCTCCCTCCGTCTGTGAACAAGAGATGAGGCTTCTCACTGGGGACTAATGTGTTTACTAGTCTCTAAAATAACAGATTTAAGATTCCTTTCCTTGCTGCCCTGGAAAAGTGAAAATCAGCAAAACCTCCCTGAGGAATAATCAGGAGTAGATCGTATAACCAATTTGACTTACTAAAATCCTGAGTTCTGTTAATATTAGGTAAAATGCATGTTTATGAGGGTCAAATAATTAAGATGCCAACTCTTGTTTTGTAGCAACTGAAAGAAACTCACCAATTGTCATCAAACCACCCCTAAAAGCCCAAAAATAAAACTCAAAAATGTACATTCTATAGGGCTGGTAGGATTGAGGTGTGAGAACCGAGTAGACGTGTCTTTGCACAGACCATTCCCTGTGTTTGGAAGGACTTCTCACCTCATTTTTTTCCTGGCAAACTCCTACTCATCCTTCAAGGCCCAGTTAAATGTCACTACCTCTCTGAAATCTAGCCCCACACTTCAGGTATTAGAGAGAATTTTTCCCTCCTTTGTACCACCTCTTCCCAAACATTTATTATATTTGTTGCAATTTATCTCTTCATCTGCTCAACTCTTAGACCCCTTGAGAGCTGGACGCGTGCCTTTTCCTTCTAGGATCCACAGCACCAGTACTCAATAAATAATGAAGGGGTGTACTCCAAAAAGGAGTTAGAAGTCACTGGCCTCTGACCTGCAGTAGCAGTGATGCCAGGAAGAGATATTGCTAGTCCATCCAGTGAATAAGTAATCACAACACGATTAGCACATTGATTATTCCTGAGAAAACTAAGTGATTTTGTAGCTAAGCTAGACTTTGTTTAAACTTTTTTTGCCCCCTTTTTATTTTATGATCCTAGCTTGCCACACAGAACTTTCCTTAAGCTGACCCCCATGACTTTTCTAGCCTCATTTTCCAGAAGGTCCCTTCACAGAGCCCTGCAAACTCTCCTGCTTGCTCCTCTCCCTCTAGGCCTTCATTTCCTGCTTCTGTGGAAGCTCAGAAGCGAGTTCCTCAGGCTGATTCCTCTCTCTGGGCTGCCCTTCGCATGTCTGCACATGCCAACCCACCTTGCACAGCCTTCAAACACCACCTTCCTTCAGAAGCCCCCCTGATATCAGGCTCACCCTCAAGCCCCCAAACCCAGGATCTCGCCTTCTTCTAAACCGCCACATGGCACTTCATTTCTCTCTGCCAAGGTAGAGTTGTGTGTGTGCACGTGCGTCTTAGCCTCTCGAACACTCTGTATCCCTCAGGAGGAAGTCCTGTGTCCCCCGGAGCACTAGCAATGCTGTCCATACTCAGTTCTATCCACTTTCCCTCCACCTCTCCTGTCGCCAAGCCTGTGGATGAACACATAGTCGAACACCTTCTTGCTCCTGCGTCCATTCCCCACACAGCAGCCAGTCTGATCATTTAAAAACACAAGTCAGATCACATCATGTCCCCGTCTTAAAGCCTTGAGTGCCTTTGCATTGCTCTTAGGATACAATCCAAACTCCTTCCCATGGTGCAGGAAGGACCCTGGCTGCTACCCCTCCACCCCTTCCCCGCTCATTCCATGCCGTTTCTCCTCCTGCCCTCCCTCCCAGTGCCCCGGCTGTGCTGATCTCCTTTCAAGTCCTCTGCCTGGAATGCTCTTCGCCCAACCCTCTGCCTGGCTGGCTCCTATCCATCTTTCACTTCCTCTGAACGGCCTTTCTTGACCTATGACCTCGCTAGGATCACCCTGCTGTCTCTCTCACAGCACATGGTTCTCTCCAGTCATGGTGTTTGTCACAATTTGTAACTGTATATCATCTGTGAGTCTGTTTCTGTCCCCCAGTGCAGAGACAGTCATTACTACTGTCTTTAACTACAACAGTCATTGATACTGTTAGTAGATGGCCTTTTCAGCCACCCTTCATGCCTCTTCCTCTTTTTGGTAGAACTCCAGTTCTGCTCAGGTCTCCGCTCTTCTGAGGCCATGTGCTTCCGGGGAGATAAGCTCCCGACACTGCCTCAGGGAGTGGGGTTCTGACTGGTTTGGGTACAAGCATGAGGTATCATTCTGGTTAATAAGACATTAGGGGAAGTCTGCTGAGGATTTCTGGGAAAGATTTTTTTTTTTTCCTTACTGATAAAAAAGACACACGGGAAGAAACAGTACTTGTTTCTCCCCTAGACAGCATTGTGAAGATGTGCCTGGGGCAGTGGCAGCTATCTTGTGACCATGAGGAGAGTCAGCTCAGAACAAGCTATTGTCTTGAGGGAATGAGAGTAGAAAACTAAAAAGAACCTGGATCTTTAATTATGTTGGCGAGCTCCTAAATTAAGCAATCTTAGAGCTGAACTACCTCAGGATTCCTTTTTTGGTGGGATAGGTCTGTTGATTGTTTAAGCCATTTGAATTGGTTTTCTGTTATTTACAGTTTAAAACAGTCTGACAGATATACCACTGTATTCTCAGTTCCTAGCACAGCATTTGATATAGTAAACGTTATAGGTGTTCAGTAAACGTGATTCGTTGAATAAATTTTGTTGAGACATTGGTTGGATAACTCAAAATTTCAGCTCAGTGTCTTTGAAATTATTCCAAAATTCTGAATAAGCAAGATCTATGTATAACTGGCTAAGAAACCACAAACTCCTGTTGCATGCATTCATTCAGCTGGAAGCTAAGAACATCCCCAGTACTTTCCTTTTTCTCTGAGGGAGGAGCCTGTAAAATCAAACTCATTATTCCTTGGCACTCAGCAATTGCCTCCTCATCCCCACTCTCAGAGTTTAGTGGTTCATTGTTCTTTAACTTTTTTTGCTACATGAGGCTTCTCTCTCAAGCTCTTGGAAGTGTAGAACAATGTTTCAATTTTCCTTCAGTCTTTCATCACACTTAGCCTAGTCCTAGTCACGTGACATGTGCTCTGTCACATTAGACCCTTGCTAATTGGTTAAATGAACCAAAAATTAAGAAAATTGAATCCTACTTGAAAAAATATAGTTTGATAGAGTCTATCAGTATCACGTTATTTGCATAAGTGAGGTACATTTGTAACAGCAGGGAGAATATATACTTTCTATGCCCTCAACTCTAGCATCAAGTAGATATTTACACTGAGTACCAGACAGGATACCCTCAGCAGGTGGGCAGGGGGACTCATTTATTATATACAAAACTGGCCTGGATTTCACAAGGAGGATACAGAAAACGCAACATGGGTCCTGTTGTTCAGCAACGCTAGTTGAAAGCCTCAGTGCTGAAAGTCTTCCTTCTCCAGGAAGTCATTGTTAGTTAGTTCTGCCTAATCTACCATTGTATTAGTTTTCTATTGCTTCATAACAAATTACCACCAACTTAGTGGCTTAAAATAATACACATTTACTATCTCACAATTTTCATGGGTCAGGAGTCTGGGCATGGCTTAGCTAGGTCCTCTGCTCAGAGTCTCACAAAACTGAGATCAACGTGTTGGCTGGGCTGCATTCTCATCTTGAGGCTTGAGTGGGGAAAGATCTGCTTCTTTGCTCCCTCATGTTGTTGGCAGAATTCATTTCCTTACAATTACACTCATCTCCTACATGAAGCCTTCCTTGACCTAAGTTAGATATGGAATTTATGATGCTTGCTTCTTCAAGGCCAGCAATAGGGAGAGAGTCTCTACTTCATTGAGCATCTGACTTCTAGACTTCCTTTTACAGGACCCACCTGATTAGGTCAGGCCCACCCAGGATGATCTCTCTTTTGATTAATCCAAAATCAGCTGTTTAGGGATCTTAGTTACCTCTGCAAAATCCCTTCACACTTGCCATATTCTATGGGTTAGAAGCAAGTCACAGGTCCTACCCACTCAAGAGGAGGGGATTACACAAGGGCAGGGATCATGGGATGTCATCTTAGAATTCTGTCTACCACAATTATCGAGTTCTAGTCTTCTCCTTCCCTGACTCACCAGCTACGTTAGTTATTCCTGCCCTGTTCTCTCAGAGCGGCTTCCCTCTACTTCTCCTACCATGTGTCCAATCATACACAATTGTAATTACTTGTTTAAGTGACTGTCTCCCAACTAAACTGTAAGTTCCAGGAGTACAGGACCCACGCCTGATTTTTCCACTCGGTCTTTTGTGCCTATCACATGGTAGTTTCAAAATATGTGCTAAATATCAGTGCTGTGGAAGTTGCTTTAAAGTCACTGTAATGATTTAGTTGGGTGGTTATGTGTTTCCATCCTATCCTCAAAATGAGGGCATGTATAATGCCTATTCTTTTAAAGGACCCTCACATTCAGCACCCTAGAGACCAGGATCGTGTTCATCTTTGTAACCTTTATACACACAATGTCTAGCACCTACATAGGTGGGTGCTCAGTAAAAGTTTGATGAATGAATTAATGGATGAACACGTAATAATTGAAGCCCTGAACCCTGAGTAGGACAAGTAAATACACTGGATCCTCACTACAAAATTGCCCTTTGACTTTTTCTGCACATCTGACTCCTGCCCATCCTTC